TTTACACCAAGAGCTTTAAAAAAACAAAACCCAAGCTTACTTTATTGCTGGTTTCTGCTACCCCTTGGCCCAGAGAGCTGGGAGTAGGCGCAAACGAGAAGGCATTGCACAATCGCACCCACCAGCTGTATTCTCAGCTAGACACACTGAGGGCCCTGGGAAGGTAAGGAGCTGCTTCTTCCAGTTAGAGCACATAGAGCATCTGCACCAGGAGTTCCCAGCACTCTGTAGAGCACGCAGCACAGCTGGAGAGCAGGTCATTGCTCAGTTAAGCACTTCCTTTGCCCAGAGCTTATCTGGGTGTAACTGACTATTACCAGAAGTGCCCAGCGAGCTCACTTCTCTACTTCACCCCAATCAGTCATGCTCATGTGTTCACTCTTACATCATCATGTAACACACCAATCAAATTTTTTACACTTTGAAGCCTAAGATCCTTCTGATTTATTCTGGTGACCCTCCAAAAGGAGTCACAACATGTGAGGTATTAAGTTAGTAAATCCCCAGGCCGAGAAAGAAGACCCAAAATTTTCTCTGCCTATATCATCCCACAGGTACACAAACCAGAAATAAATTCTCTGTATAAAAGGATAACCAATTGTCTTTATAAAATTTAGTAAATATTATCCATCTTTCCCCTCAAAATTTAAAATATCACCTTTATCATAAATCTCATTTTCAACTCACAGGGCCCTGTTTTTGTTTTTAGTTTCTTTCATATTTAATTTTAGTCCAGTGTCAATACCACACTGTTTTACTTGCTCTAGTTTTTATTACGTTTTGATATTTGGTAGGGTAAGTGCCCTTTTATTATTACTTTTAGGCAAAAATACTTTAGGGAGGGAACCAGACTACACGTTTTACTTCCATATGAACTTTAGAATCGGCTTGTTATTTTCTATTAAATATTCTTTTTGAAATAGCATGAGCACATCAAATCAGTGAAAATGAATTGGGCTTTAAAATATTTCAGTCTTGGGGAGAAATAGTCATATGGAGATAAGATAAAATTATATTCATTACTCTCACTATGTGTTAGGATACTTTAATATGGATGAGAGTAATGCACAAACAAAACCACCCAAGTACTTACAGAAATCATGGGTGAATTCCTGTATAAACTGAGACTGTTAAGAATTTTCCTATGATAAGGAAGAAGATTGATAAAGCTGACTACAAAAAAAAATTTATAAAAACAAACCTCTGCAAATGACAAAGTAGACACATGGCAACTGGGGAAAAAATATTAGCAACTTATATCACAGGTAAAGAATTGATATGCTTAATATACAAAGAGCTTCTGAAAATAGAGACGAGACCAATAACATTATAGAAAAATAGATAAGAGATAAAGGATAGTAGTAAGAGAGAATGCAACTTAAAACTTTTGTCAAATGCTGGCTGCCGAAACATCACCAGCACAACCACCTACTGGTAAGACAAAGCCAAGTTCATTGCTTACATTGGTAAGGAAGAATAAGAGAGAACACCACTTCAATAGAGCTTTCATAGCATCTTGCAGGGAGAGAGCAAGGTAGAATTTTACTGAGACTGGAAAAGTTGGATTAAGGTAGGTCTTTCTGTTCGGGGTGGTGGGGGAGCTTGATTAAAATTGGGGAAGGATCTTGATATACAGTTTAGAATCATGGTATATTAGTGGCAACCACATGGTGGATTTTGAGGTGATGGATTCAGAATCTTAGGACATAAACTATCTGTTGATGCTTTCTATTGAAGAGCTGATGGGTCTTTTCAGGAGATTTTAAAGAACAACCAAGTTATTTGCCTGGAAAAGAGTATCTTGGAAGAATAAAGTTATGCTAAAAAAGACAATGAACTAGTAAAGTGATGTTCACATAGACAGTAAGCTGTGTGGAGGATAAGCAGTGTCAGTCCTCAGTGTCCACACTGTGGTGGGGTAGATGGTTTCGATTCTTACAATACTGAGACCTCCAATTTCAGCTTAGAGATGTAGAGAGCTAGAAAGAGTGTGTCCTCTCCTTTACAACTAGAAAAAAGATGGATAAGCTGCAAATTAATGGCTTTTCTTGTTCCAGGAGAGAATTAAGAATGCAGGACAAACAACTCACCCAAGACTAGAGAGAGACAAGCACCTACTGGGAGAACAGGACCTAAGCATTTGTTACCTGGAATATATGCTGTCAAATGCCATATAAACCAGTGAGAAAATTCAGCTAGAAATTGTTAACAAATTGCTAACAAACTGTGGGATAGTGTAAGAGTGTGGAGCCCTTGGGGACACAGATGGGGGTGTATTTCTACTTTTCTCCTCACTAGGTTCTCACAGGGGAGACTGGAAGAGTCCTCAGAAAACGCCTCCTCCTGGGGTTGGTTGAGGGAAGACAACAGCAACCACTGCAAAAGCTCCACGTAGACTAACTTCCCCACCTTCACAAAAAAAGAAAAGTCTCAGTCTATATGGGTAAGGCTATCAAAACCTGTATCTGAGGGCATGGGTGGAAACCCACTGCAGCTAGAGGAGGGAGGCATGGGGGTAAGGCCAGAACAGTAACACAAGCTAGGCTTAACATTATGTCTGAAGGAGGGGCAGGAACACCTGTGAAGGCCACATCTGAGAGACCCAGGTTCATAGTGCTTGCAGTTCACAGACTGATGCTTAATGAGAACATCAGAGAATACCCCCTTCCCCACCCCTCACCACCATACTAACAGGCATCAAGTGAAAATAACAGAAGAATACAATTGGGAGAGGTGCAGGAAACAGACACTCGCTAGGGAGCAGTGTAGAGGGAAGACTCAAAGACAAGCAGGGGACAAACACAAGGTATCACTAGAGGAAGTTGAACCTCTGGAGCACAGAGGTAAGTGAAGCAACAAGCCCAATTCCTTACTAGAGTAATCCAACTCTGCACACTAAAGGCCAAGCAGAAGGAAAAGTGTGCTTACCTCCAAGCATAAAAGTTATTTACATCGGTATCTAATGTTCCGTTCAACATGTCTGGATTTCAACAAAAATTTATGAGGCATACAAAATGGCAAGAAAAAAGAGATCAAACAATCATCAGAATGAGACTTAGATATGACATGGGAAATTTAAAATTCACTATGATTAGTATGTTAAAGATGCTAATATAAAAGGTAGACAGCCTGCAAGATCAGATAAGTAATTTCAGCAGAGCTGGAAACTATAAGAAGGAACCACATGGTAAAGTTAGAAATAACAAACACAGTAATAGAATTAAAGAGTGCTTTTGATGGGTTCATTAGTAGATTCGATACAACCAAGGAAAGAATCCATGAATTTGAAAACAGGTCAAAGATATTATGCAAACTAAAACACAAAGAGAACAAAAGAGTGAACAAAAAGAATAGAGTGCTCAAGAGCTCTGGACAACATAAAATGGTCTGACATGCATATAATAAGAATTCCAGAATATAAAAGAGTGAATGGGGCAGAATAAATACTTGAAAAAATAATTGCCAAGAATTTTCCAAATTTAGTAATAGACACAAAAACACAGATCCAAAAAAGTCCAGAAAAAATTTAACACATCTGGAGAAAAAAAGGCACATTACAGAGAAACAAAGCTATATATTACAGCAGACTTCTCATCAGACCATGTAGGCAAGAAGATAATGAGGTGACATCTTTAATAAGCTGAAGGAAAAAAAAAAAACCTGTCAACTCAGAATTCTTTACCCAGTAAAAATATCCTTTACAGTGAAAGAAAAAGAAGACTTTCTCAGACAAACAAAAACTGAGGGAATTCATTGCCAGCAGACCTACACTACAAAAAATATTCAAAGAAGTTCTTCAAGGAGAAGGACTATGATACAATTAGAAACTTGGATTTACACAAAGAAATGAAGAGCATTGGAAATGAAATAAATAAAGATCAAATAAAATCTTTCTTTTTGTTATTTTTAATTGATCTTGTACAATAATAACAGTAACAATGTATTTTGCATTTATAGAATATGTAAAAGTGAAATGTATGATGACAGTGGCACAAGGGATGGGAGGAGGGAATTGTGAATATAATACACTCTTATAAGGTCCTGACTCTGTATGCGAACTGGTATGATATTACTGAAAGGTGGACCCAGATTATTTTTAGAAATATTGTAAAACCTAGGGGAAACACTAAAGTAGTTTTTAAAAGAGATATAAATAAGTCAATAGAGGAGATAAAATGGAATAAAAAATTGTTCAGTTAAACCTAGAGAAGGCAAAAAAAATGGGGGGAAAAAAAGCAAATGGAACAAATCGAAAACAGCTAGCAAGTTAGTAGCTCTTAACCCAACTACATCAAAAGTCACTTGAGATGTGAATAATTTAAAGTAAAATACAGAGATGGTATCAGAGTAGATAAAAAAGTGAGACGCAACTATATGCTGATTATAAGAAATCTGCTTTAAATGGAAAGATATAAGTTAAAAATAAAAGAATGGAGAAAGATATACCAAAAAAACACTAACCAAGAGAAAGCTGAAGTTGCTATGTTAATTTCAAATAAAGTAGACTTCAGAACAAGGAATATTATCAAAATAATGTTATAAAATTATAAAGGGGTCAATTCTCCAAAAAGATATAACATGCACTTAACAACAGAATTTTAAAATACATGAGACAAAAACTGAAAGATCTGAGGGTATAAAAATACAAATTCATAATTCTAGTTAAACATTCTTCTCTTGGTAATTGATAGAAAAAGTAGGCAGAAAATCAGTAAGGATGTAGATGACGTGAATAATACTATCAACCAACTTGATCTAATTGAGATGGAAACTTAGCACTCCAATATGGGTGAACTTGTCAGAGATTCTAGCTTTAAAGTGTTAATTTGAACAGCTGGGAGTGGCTCCAACAGTTTTCTCTATTGGTTGAAAAACCTGGACTCAATCATGGCCTCCATTAAATTAAGTTCAGTTGCCAACATTTTCTTGCTATAATATAGAAGAAGGAATCCAAAGACTTAAGGGAAAAATAACATAAGAATGAGTTTGCTGTGTGGGATCTGCCTAGCCATCCCTCATTATGCCTCCTGGGAGGGGCCACAGGGCCCTGTCCTCAACAAACCTCATACATTGGCGAGGAGAGCCTGACATCCATTACAAGTCCTCTGGTGACTACCATCTACAGCTGGGGGGCTGAGAGTAGGAGGTGCTCTGTTGACATAGACCTCCTGATTTAGTGGGGATGATGGGATCCCAGAGTGGCAGAGACAAATAAGGGGCAGAAATTCACGGTAGGCATGTCATCAAAACAGGCAGCAGGGTGGGAGTAGAAATCAAGGTCTACCTGCAGGACAGGTAGACCTGCAGGACATTTGGTGGTGGCTAGTTGGTCATGCAGGCCCTAGCACTGAACAGATGGGAAGCTCTTAATACAAAAGCTGTACTCTGTCAACAAATCCACTGAAAAGGATTTTCCTCAAAAAAAGAGAAAAAGACTTCATTCCAGCAAGCAATTTGCAAACCTAATTGAGATGCAGCCTTCAGTACAAAACAAAGGTCACTCCAAGAGAACAAAGACAGGGGTTGTCTTTTATGGAGAAAGTTCCCATAGAGGTTCTCACTTTGGTCTGCTATGCAAATGAGGGATGCGAGCTTGTTTAGTTCTGATTGGTCCATGCAGGTCACAGTCTACTGGGTAGGTCCAGGTGGTGAGATGAGAGTTACTCAGGTCCTATAAACAGGAACAGACAGAGACGAAAATAACAAAGTTATATGGGTATGTGGTTTCTTTGGCAATGCAGAGTACGTGTGTGGTCACGTGTGTGACCTCTAGTCGGCAAATGGCTACTTGACTCCATTTTAAACTTAGGCCCAGTTAGCCACTCAGGATCCATCTTGAGGGACTGGCTCTCTCAGGGTTCACAATTTAATCTGTATAATAATATCGAAAAATATATAGATTTTGTGATCAGTCATACGACTTGGAGAACTACAGGGTAAAATCATGACTCAATTCCCAGACCTTATCCCAGCGGTGGGCAACCATCTTCTTTAAAGGGCCAGATTGTAAATAGTCCAGGCTTCAAGGGCCATCTCTGTCACAGCTACCCAGCTCTGCCACTGTAGAGTGAAAATAGCCACAGACAGCATGGAAAGGAATACGCATGGCTATGTTCCTAGGAAACTTTCCCAGTGGTCCCTGGAATTTGGATTTCATATAATTTTCATGTATTATGAAATATTATTATTATTTTAATTTCTTCAACCATTTAAAAATGTTAAAACCATTCTTAGCTTGCAGGACATACGAAAACAGGAAGCAGGTCAGATTTGGTCTGTGGGCTGTCATTTGCCAAACCCTGTGTGAGCAATCCACAGACCTGAAGCCCCTTGGATACCAACCCTAGCTGGATTCAACCCCGGTTTTCCAAGTCCCTTTGGATGCCGTATTCTCAGCTGCCAACCACTCTGCGCCAGTGCCTCATTCATGGCCTCTTCCTCTCTCCCACGGACCCCACTGAGGGGGCCATACCAACTATGGCTGTGCGTAGAGTTACAGGAGCTCTTCCAGCTCGACAACTCCATTCTTTACCTCCAACAATTCCCCTTCCCATGTTTTTCCCCGTCCATGCAACCTTTCTCTCTGTTCCTACCCAGTTACTATGCCATAGCTGTGCTCCCCAATAACCTTGCCCTGGTGACTTGCAGCACGATGACTCCTCCTTAGCAAACACAGAAGCAGAAATAGCCATTTGGCAAAAAGTTGGGAAAAAGACCACACAATGTACCAAATGTTGTTAATTTGCTGGTTGTGCTTCTCTGCTCTTCACAGTCTGTACAACTATGTAACCTCTGAAAAGATAACTTGTCTGATTTATTCTATCCAAATCTGTAGCATATTTGCATAATCAGTATTTCTGCATGCCCATTGCTAGATATAAGTACATAGATGAGCATTAAAAATCTGACTGGCTGCATCTCAACTCGTGCTTCCACAATATCCAGTTCTCCTTAACTTCTCATAGTTTGTTTTGCTTACATGAGGTGAAAACGTCTTTCTCCACCGACCTGTTGTGCAGCTCTGGTCCTGGTCTCGTCCATTTATTCTTCTGCGTTTCTTGACCATCTTTGCTTTTCGTTCCTGTTGGTACCACCTGATTTCACTTCTCCATTCTCCTGCATACTGTAGTATGCGTGATGGAAAGACACTGATTAAGAGAGGAGAGAGCTATTGAGTTCTAGTCCTGGCTAAGTTCCTTGGTATCTATGCAACCTTAGCAAATCATGCGCCTCTCTGAAATTCAGTTTATTCAATTGGAAATGGGATAATATTGTCCCTGCCTATTTCACTGGAGTGAAGTGAGTATCAAATGAGACAATACATGTTAACGTGCTTCCTAAAACACTATTCAAATGTGAAGGCCTTGTTCTATCTTTCTCTGAATCCCACTGTCATTGCTGGTGCCATGACCCCCTTCAGCCTTATGGAATGATACTCGGGCAAATCTCACCTCCCTTATGGGATTGTAAATTCTTGTGGGGATGGAGTGTGGCCTTCTCATCTACCAGTTGCTAATGCTTGAAGCAGTCAGCCTCGTACTGTGTACTGAAGCATACAAACAGCGCATGGCCCCTGCCCACGAATGCTGCAGTCTGGGTCGAGAGACAGGTAGGAGGCACCTTGTCCCTCTGCAAACACATGATGCTCTTGCAAGTTCCCAATTATGATGGACCACAAATAAGAAAACTAAGAGATAGATGGTGCCTGGAAAGGTGCTTTGTTTGCCTGAATCACAGCTGTGTCTTGATGGAGGAAGAGAGAGGCAGCAGGAGGTCTGCAAGACAACAGGTCTGTGAGATGTGGCTCACGTTGCCAGCTGCATGATGATTCCACAGGAAAAGGGTCCTTTCTGCATAGGGCCTACCTCAACCTACACAGACGGTGCTCCAGGAAGACCCCTCAGTACCTCACTCATCTCTTTGGAGACTTGATCCTCCCTTTGAACCAAGAGCACCACTATCTTCAAAGGCATCCCTCAGCAGTGACCAGTGACAACATTGCTCTGAGGTAGGGCACTCTGGGAGGAAAGAGCAAAAAGAAGCCAGTGAGTGTCAGAGCAAGCATTAGAACAGGGGTTTCCTGAGCCCAGAGTTCTCACTGTTCTGTGTTGCCTTTTCGAATGTAAGAAGAGTCCCTAAAGAAGGCAGAGCTGTGAGGGGCTTCATAGGTTTGATTTGGATAGGTCAGAACCAGAGTTCATTCATGCATTCAGCAAACACCTTCTGAACTCAGCCAGGTACTGAGTTAGATATGAAGGTAAGTGAGGGACACAGGCCCTGCCTTCAATCCCAGTGGGCAGACGTATAAGGCAGGTTTACACAAAGCCCTATGGGAACCCAGAAGGGAGCGTTAGCTCTACCAGGGAGCAAGGAGAAGGTTTCACGGCACCTCTGGGTCACAAATGAGAAATTCAGCAGGCTTAGGAGAGAGGAAAGAGTATGCCAAGCACAGGCAAAGGTATGGAGACATAAAAAGGCACCTGCAAGATCAAGGAATGGTTGGGAGAAGCGCATGTGGCAGAGAGGGGAAGAGGTGAGGTGGGTGGGTTAGGCTAGGCTAGCTCATAAAGGGCTTTTGCCATGTGCCAGAGAGCCAGTCAGCAAGAGGGGTGTAGAGTCTGAGTGTAGGAATTCCCTCTCCAGGCTTTGGGGCCTTAGGAAACCTTTTCCTATTCCCCTGATTAACTAATGCAACTAGTGCATCCCAGACCACAGAGAGGAACAGACCAGTACCTGACATTCTCAGGGCTCCCCTGGTTTTCTTTCAGCAGAAGCCAAACAGGAGTGGCAGCCCCGCGACCTCCCAGGTGGGCCGATCTGTCCTGAGTGTTTGTTCTGCCTACTTAGGCACTATAGTCATAATCAGGAGACTTCGGGGATTTTCCTCTGTGTTGAAAACACTTCAGTTTCACTTAGTGCCAGCAGCTGCCAGGTCTCAAAGTCTGGAGCCATCCATAAACAAGGTCTGGCCAGATAACTGCCATGAGCTCACGCCCCCCTTAAACTAACAAAAACACTCTTACCTCCCAGCCAAAAACAGAAAAAAAAAATCCCTATCATCATCCAAATGCACCAGCTTCCTACTTTTCCTGGCTGCCCGCCCTTCCTTCTTCGTCCCCTCCTCCTGGTTTCCTGGCAGCAGCCAACATCCCCTGCAACCTGAGCAGCCAGGCCGGGTGGGTTCCACCCAGGTGTGCCTGGTACATGGCGCGCGGGGCAGGCGCCGGAGGAGGCATAGCAGGGCTCCCGGTGCTCCAAGAGCCAAAGGCATTTGCAAGGCTGGCCTGGGGAGCCAGCCTGTGGCCTACTCTAAATAAACACTTGGAGCTCTGGATGGAGTCACTGTAAGTCATGTTGTTCAACGCTTTGGAGTTTACAAAGCTGTTTCACACATATTACCTCTCTTCATCCTCGTAACAACCCTGTGAGGCCGGATCTTACCTCTATTTCAAGGATGAGGAAGCTGAAGCTCAGAGAATTCAAATGGCTTTTCCAAGATCACCCAGCAGAGTCTGGAACTGAATTTAGGACTTCTACATCCTCTGGGTGTGGCCTTATGCTTGGCATCACAGAAAGGCCCTTGAGATGCTTTGAGAAGCCGCAGGAGACGAGTGTGGTTGAGCTCACATGGGTGTGCACGTGCACACACACACACACACACACACACACACACATACACACAACTCACGGTGCTGATTCCACTCTAAGAAACTCATATTGAATGAGGCAAAATACTTAACACGGTGCCTGACAGCACACATTGCCTCACCTGGGGAGGAGGCTGCCTTCAGATCACCATCAACTTAGTGAATGGACCTGACAACAGTTTATCACGTTGAGTGGCAATTATATGTTTACAAGTCTGCTCCCCTCGCCAGGCTGTGAGTTACCCCAGGGAGCTGTCTGCTCCGTGCCTAGCACAGCATTGAACCTAAACACATTTTTTTGTTTGTTTTCAATAATGAGTGTGAGAGTCGTGAGGACAGATAAACTGCCACTTCAGTCACCTTGCTCAGAATGTTATGCTGATGTTAGTTATGTTCATGCCTCCCCAGGTCATGCCCCATAGGACAGGGGTGCATGGAGCAGGTGCGTGAGTTTCCTGTTGCTGCTGTAACAAATGACCACACAATTAGTGGCTTAAAACGACACAAATTTATTATCTTACCATTCTGGAGGTAGAAGTCCAAAATGGAGTTTTCAGGCCAAAATCCAGGTATGAGCAGGACTGTGTTCCTTCTGGCAGCTCTTGGGAAGAATCCGTTTCCTCACCTTTTCTGCTTCTAGAGGCTGCCTGCGTTCCTTCTCCCTCTGCTTCCTTTGTCACGTCACTGTCACTCTCTCTGGCTGACCCTACTGCCCCCCTCTTACAAGGACCCTTGTGATTACATGGGGCCCATCCAAATAATCCAGGATAATCTTCCCCTCTCAACGTCCTTAATTTACCACATCTGCAAAATTCCTTTTGGCACAGAAGGTAACATATCCATAGGTCCTACAGATTAAGATGGGGGGGAGGGGAGTATTATTCAGTCTATTAAAAGTGGATAAGTAAACTTGAAAAACGTCACTTCATTCTCTGAGCCTTCATTTTTTTTCTTCTGTAGCATGGGGATAATAATACCTACCTTGCAAGACTACAGGATTTAAAGGAAATCTGATGTAAAACACTTTCTATACCATCTCAGGTAGTTCTTTTTATAAGAATTCATTCTTTTCATTCATTCACTTGGTAAATTTATTGGATACCTACTATGTACCAGGCAGTTTTCAGAGTACTGAACTATGCTAAAAAGAGGGAAGGCATAAGAGAGCAAGGACTGCCCTAAAGAGGGAAGGAAGGGGTGAATGTTAAAGTTAGGGAAATGGTTTAGAAACGTAAAGTAACTACCTGGTTGATTCTGTCAAATTCTGACAGTAATTTATCTGAATGGTGGAGAGACCAAATTAAAACATTTTGCTCATGTCTGTGTTTTTGTTTAAGAAATATTGGTCTAAGTATGAGTCCTAATATGACACAGAAATAAAAAATACAATATTATCATGCCTCGGATATTATCATGCAGAGATTAATTCAGAGGCCTAACGGGACTCAGGCAGACCCATGACTGCAGTATGGAAGCAATTTAGCTTATAGAAGGACAGTGCTAAGGCTGAGTTCTGGGCTCGGGTCTAAGGGTTTTGCATCAATACTTCCTTGAAGCCTGTACGTGGGTAGCGATTAGAGTTGAATTTAAAAAGTTGAGATAATGACTTCACAGAGCTGACTCCCTGGGCAGAATATGGAAATAATTTTTCATCAGATTAAGAGATTTGGGGAAGGCAAGAGTCCCTGGGGGAAAGAGAAAGCTGCCAAAGAATTGCTAAACAGAGCATAAAAGCTTTGCTGTTGGTAGAATTACGACATTTCCTAACTAGAGGAGTCTCAAAACTCAATACTTGCTATAATCAAAGAGAACATCTAACTTCTAAAGGATGAGTAGAATTTCATACACATTTTTTCCCCTCTGAGCCTTGCTTTTTTACACTGGGCAATATATATCAAATCTTTCTATTTAAAATGAAGAGCTAAAAAAGATTTTTTTTTATTAAAGATGAAGAAATCTGAATATGTTTGTGGGACAAGGGGAAGATGCCAGTGAAGAAAGAAAGAAAGCCAAGTATATGCATTAAAAAAGATCATTACGAAGAATGTAACAGTGCAAAATGTGTAGCATTGTATCAAGTGTACAATGGTAACTTTGAAAAGTAAATAGATATAGGGGAAAAATAATAACCCTCACGGGTTCTTAGCTGGAAATGACCCCTGTTACAAAAGACCGATTAACAAGAGACAAATAAACAGAAGTTTATTCACATGTATATATCATATACCTATGGGAGACACTCAGAGAATGGGCACTTCTCAAAGAGGTAGCTTCGAATTCAAGCTTATATAGCATCTTCAACAAAGAACAGCAAATTTTTAGAGAAGTGACAAAACAAGGAAAAAGGACTGAGTCTCTAGGGTCAGCAACTTGCAGGAAGGCAAATAACTGGCAGATAAAAGCTAGTTAGTAAACTTGTTAATGGAGATTCCTCTGGGACAGTCTCCAGGCTGCGAAGCTGTCTGCAGGGGTTAGCCTCTGTTCTCCCTGGTAGAAGCCGGCAGGATCCCTTAGTCTTTGTAACTCTATGTCCTACTTTTGGGTAAGGACAGGGAGGACAGGGAGCTTTTGTTCCTGCATCTGCTTCTTAATTGTCTTCAGCCCAACAGCCCTTCATATTTTGGGGGGGCCTATTCTGGTCTCCCACATAGACAAAGATGGCAGGAAATACAAAAAGACTTTTTTTTCTTTTTCTTTTTAAAAATTTTCACAGATTTAGGAAGTACAAGTTGAATTCCGTTACATGTGTATATTGTGTAGTGGTGAAGTCTGGGCTTTCCATGTACCTGTCATCGGAAATGAAAAGATTTTTACAGTTGTGGTCAGGTGGTAGGATTGTGGCCAATTTCTTTTTTTGGTTTTCAAACTTTTTGAAATGTTAGCAGTCTTCATACTAAAATAATTTCAGCAAGTTATTTCTGATACAATGGTACAGATATAGGCATATTGTCTGGTGACCTTGAAATTTCTGATCCTATTTCTTTTTTTTTTTTTTTTTTTTGAGACAGAGTCTCACTGTGTTGCCCGGGCTAGAGTGCCGTGGCATCATCCTAGCTCACAGCAACCTCAAACTCCTGGGCTCAAGCGATCCTTCTGCCTCAGCCTCCCGAGTAGCTGGGACTACAGACATGAGCCACCATGCCCGGCTAATTTTTTCTATGTATTTTTAGTTGTCCAATTAATTTCTTTCTATTTTTAGTAGAGACGGGGTCTCGCTCTTGCTCAGGCTGATTTCGAACTCCTGAGCTCAAACAATCTGCCCGCCTTGGCCTCCCAGAGAGCTAGGATTACAAGCGTGAGCCACCGCGCCTGGCCTCTGATCCTGTTTCTTAAGCTTTTCTCCCAGATGTCATTCCCATTATTGCTATCATAATTTTTTTTTTTAATTTTACTAGGATTCCTGTTGCTTTATCAGATCTCCCCCTGGTGTCACTTTTAAAAACTTTTCTCATTCAAGTTAACCCAGCTCTTTAAGAACTATTTTTATTTTAATTAGACGACATCTTTTCTCACTCTCGTTAGCATTTTGACAATTGTGATGAAGCCCCTGGAGCCCCTGTGTGATCATAAATCCCCACTTGGAAACAGGGCCACCCCATTAATACTGTTGCACGACCATGCCATCAGAACTCTTTCACACATATGTAGTTTGAAACAGCCCATAAAGACACTATTTACAACATACTAAAAAGAAGTGGAATTGTGATAGGATCATCAAGGTATTTTAGCAAAAAATCAATAACAACCAATAGCAACAGAGACCTTCTTTCTCTGGCAAGCAGAAATATGGTTGGTTAAGAAATGTGGTTCAAGTAGCCTGTTATCAAGACCTGGTAAACCTGTGAAAACAAATGTCCATTAAAATCCAGTCTTACATTAGTATTTGCTCTTAGTGTAAATAATAAGTGGAAATGTAAATATCTTATCAGGAGACTGGGCTCTATTCACCATCTATTAGATATTTCATTGATGTCTTTTCTTTAGCTTTTTGAACTTGGCCTCAGAGGCCTCTAATATTATCTGACACAAAAGAGAAAGAAAAAAACAAGCAACATGTGAAAAAAATTTAAAACATCTGTGTTTTGAACATAATCTCAGTGTACAACAGCCCCTCCTATAGCTAGGGAAATAAATAATTATAACTC